CCGCTTCATCAACGTCTCATCGAATGGAGAAGCGTTTAATGGCGCCTATTTAACATCCTTTTCCACCTAAAATGGAGTCGAGTGAGGCCGTGACGAGCTGGCTGAACCAGAGCCTGACTTCACAAGCTCCGGCCAGCAACACAACAGACAACTGTAGCAGTGAGAAGACGATGAAGATTGTCCTCATCCTCTACCTCGGCACTCCGTTGGAGTTGATCGGGCTGAGCACCAGTCTTCTGGCTTTTGCCATCTTCTTCTACGATCGGTTCACGCCAAAGACGACGAAACTGCTCCTCCAGACGATGGCGATCATTGACACCCTCTTGTTGCTAAGCGCCCTGGGCACGCTCAATCTGAAGTCGGCCTATCTGGACTTGGGCGACCGTTCCCCGCTGGGCCGGAGGTTGCGACACCTTCACGACCAGTTGAACAGTTACCTCTTCGTGTCGCTCAACCTGTGGGAGATGGCACGCAATTGGCTGACCGTCTTGATCGGTCTCGAGCGCTATCTGGTCATCTGTAGGCCCCTGGAGGCGAGCAAGTACTGCACACGACGACGCACCCTCATCGCCATCAGCCTCACCCTCCTCTTCACTCTGTTGCTACGCATACCCACGGTCAGTCTCGAGGTGGCCAAAGCGAGAGGAATGAGTGAACGTGTCGTCAAAATCACGCGACAAGTGCATGCCACCGTCGATTGCGTCTTCCTCGGAATGTTGCCCTTCCTCTTGTTGGTCGTCTGCAGTTGGCAGATTATTCGAATGTTGAAGATATCGCGTGCCCTCCTCGCGCAACGCATTCTGCAACAGCGAGCCGAGTCGATGGTCAACCAGTGCTATTATCTGTACAATGTGGCGCCCAGGTTGACTCAGCCGTACGGTTTGACCAAATCGGAGAAGTTGAGTCTCGGCTTGAATGCGGGATTCGGACTGTCGCCAGGTCGGTACCCCTCGAGTCAGTTGAGCCGGCGCGAGGTACAGATGGACGGCGACCGAGAGACGCTGGAGCCGACCGGCGGCCGATCGAGAGACAACGGAGCAGGCAAACATGCCGGCTCGGGTCAGGAGGTCGGCAGACCAAGGCGACGGGCGAGGGCTGGGGGGGCTGAGAGTGAGACGAAAGAGAGGGCGGAAGAGGCGAAGGGTCACGAGGGAGCGAATAACGAAGAGGAAGGTGAGGAGGAGGAGGATGAAGAGGATGAGGAGGAGGAGGAGGAAGAGGAGGAGGAGGAGGAGGAGGCAGATGAGGAGGAAGAGGAGGAAGAGGAAGAGGAGGAGGAGAAGGATGAGGAAGGA